CCCATGGGGGATCATGTGATTGCTGATAACCAATCACCTTGCCTGCTGCTCCCAGCTGGAAGCAGCCAGTCTGGGACAGCAGAAAACCTGGACATTTGCTCTTTTTAAAAAAACCTGCCTGGATGGAGCACAGGGGTCCAAAAAAGAGGGCATGTCTGGGAAAACCTAGACATATGGTAACCCTATTTTAAACTTTGCCTGTTAGCAGGTAGATGTATGGCCACCATCCGATGAAACTACATTTGTTACTGAAGGTTGAGGTTATACATTTGTTTTACTGCTGGATGATAGGGAAGCAGGGATCCCAACATCCCCTTTGGTCCTGATTTTTTTTCCCCAAGAATTTCCTGGGATAGAATCCAGAAAGCTTTATGGGAAGTTGTCTCCAGAAGACTCTAGAACTTTCTGGCCTGTACTTTCAGTGATTGTGGGCACATGAGGAAGACTAACTATAACCATTCCATGACAATGACCATTTTACTCTGTGTGCTGTAAATGGATGCCTTCTGCTTCGTCAACAACAGTGCTTAATTCCTGCAAGATCAGTACTAGTTATGTTCATGACTTCAAGCATGGTGAGTGCCCCCTTAACTGGCTGATTTTTGGGTTCCCTGGGTTCTGATGGATATAGCTGTTGGTGGCAGGGGGTGAGTGAGAGCTGTGCAGATGCAGCCCTTGTTCATGCTGCTGCCTGAATGCTGATCTGCACTTGCTGCAGCTGCCACTGGCCCTGTGGTTCTGCCCCATTAATCTAGAGACCTACTCAATTTGTGGGTTTTTTTTGTTTGTTTTGTTTTTGTGGATTTCATAGAAACTGTAAATTCAGGCAAAGTCTGTGAAATCTGCAAAATAAAAAGAAAGAAGAAAAAAATAAAATGTTGGGTCCCCAGTGGGAGGCAGTGGTCTTCATGGCCAGTTTGGCCTGGAAGCCCACTGGCAGGGAGGGGGTGGGGGATGGGAAGCCATCAGCGCAGAGGGGAGTAGCCAAGATGGCAGCTGCTACCCCTCTTTGCCAGTCAGTGGCAAGGAGCAGGGTCACATGATAGGACAGCCCTCTCAGTAAGTCAGAGGTATGGGAGGGAGGGCGCTGTGATAAGCCTGTGAAAATGGCAGCTGGCCCTGTGATCAGCCACCTGCCTCCTTGATTTCAGTAGGTTCCTACCCATGTCCTTGATTTCAGTAGGTTCCTACCCATGAGATGACCCCCTGGTCTGGATCTGGCTCAGCGCTCACAGTTGGTTTAACACTTCCTTTATCTCATCTTGGCCCCTCTGATTTGGCCAGTAATTTTCTCTAAGACATAGTATCAAAACTTTTGCTAAGTCCACTGTATTGCTCTTGTTTAAGAAATTGATGGATCTTCTCATAGAATAACATTATATTAGTTTGCGATCATCCTCCAAGGAACATGCTATTCTGTTCCTATGTTTGTCCATATCTTGAATTATTAATTCCTTTGGTATCTGTTCTAAGATTTTACCCACAGCTAGACACAAGTTAACAGCTCTGTAACTGCCTCTGTCATTATTTTTTCTTTAAAAAAAAAAAAGTGCTACATTTGCTATTTTACAAGAATGTAGGGCTACCATCCTCCCAGTTCCATGCTAGAGGAGTTCCTGTTCTGTTTGCCACATCCTTCACTGTTTTGAGATGGAGATCATCTGGGCCACTCTATTTTGTGATATCAAGTGGTTCTCATTGTACTGTGCTACTCCACTCAATTGCAGCTTCATACTGAAGAGTGAGGCAAAGTATTTTTATTCTTAGATCTCTACCCTATCTTCAGCCTTAGCTTTATTTCTTCCCTCTTAGTTCTTTTGCTTTAGTTCTATATTCTTTGAAAACAGAAATATAGTCCATCTTCCTCCATCATCCTTCTGTTCAGTCCGAATTTTGGTTCCTTGTAAATCCTGTGCTTAGTCTTACTGGTCTGCGTTTGGGGTGCTTGTTTGACGTGAAGGTGTGCAGCTGTTTCTTTTGCGTACCAGTGATTTCATTCACAATTAGGACTTCATGCAGCCATTTTTGAGGACAGCTTTGTTTTGGTGGCTGCAACACGAGATCTGCCAAAAGCTGTCCAACCCACACATGGAGAGGACACCTGAAGACCTGGTCATACACTGTGCCTGTAACTCCATAGCAATAGAGTTGGGAGGAAAACGTGGAGTTGCTGTCTAGGGGGGGAGAGGGGAGATCTAAGTGTTGTGAGATGCTGGGCTGCCTAGTTACCTAATAAAAATTGGTGAAGTGGGCAGGTGTAACCTGAACAAAGTTCACTTCCATATCAGGCATTCCTAAATCATCCAGGTTTTTAATTTTTTTTTCTTTCAGTTTAAGGAGGGGTTAAGTTGTGCCTGGATACCTCTGTGCATTGTATGTCTGCTTACTTTATTTTATGATTTTAAACCTGCATAATGCATGTTACATGTGTACACACTCCAAATCAGTTTTAATGTTCACATGCTGTGTTAGTTTGTGGAGACCTGGATGTCATTTATTCTGTGCTAGGCCAAAATGTCATACTTGTCTTTCACCCCTGTTAATATTTCTGTGAGACAACTAATATGTGTTTTTTGGCCTGACTGAGCTCTCCTGAGCACACCCAACACTATATAATGTCAACTTGCATTACTGTGTCTGTTTCTTTGGTTCATTTAATTTGTGACTTCATTCTTTAAACTCAATGTTGCTCTAAGCTGGATTTGCGCTTATTCAAAAAATAATAGATACTAGCTGAAACGCACAAAACATTTATGATTACATTTTCATTGCAAAAGTATTTCCTTGAATATGGGATTTTTAGTTATCCTTTGATGGAATACTTTAACGAATCAAAACTTCCCACCCTCAAAAAGGGTACATAAAGATGTCCATGTGTAAACACAGGTCATCTGGATACATATTTTATCAAAAGTCTGACCTTATGACTTGTGTATAGTCATAGAATATGAGGGCCCTTGTACGTATGAGGAAGTTGCCCCTTTTAGTGGTTTAATGCCCCTTTTAACAATTTAATTGCTTAAGTGTACATGTTTGGCGGCATGTTATGGTTAAATTTCATAACAGTATACGTGTTTGGCAGCATATTTTGATTTAAATTACTTTTATGTTGAAATTCAAACACATCCCATGTATTTTAGTTTGTTACATAACAAATTACAGCGATTATTCCTCATGTGTACAAGGGCTTTATCTGGAGAAAGCGATGGGGATGGTGCACGGGGTGCTGGAAGCCTGGGTGTGCTCAGGAAAGCTCAGGCTTGGCAGGCTTACAGTGCTCCATGCACCTTCCCTGCTGTCACCCAGCTGCCCTCCTGCCACCTTCCCGTGGCAGCCAACCTGTTTCTGGGTGGGAACGTGGTGAGGATGGTCCATGGGGTGCTGGAAGCCTGCCAAGCTCAAGCTTCCCTGAGCATGCCTAGGCTTCCTGCGCCCTGTCCACTGTTGGATCCAATGGGTGCCCCCTCTTAGCTGGGGCTGCACCCACACAGCTAGCACCTTGCCTGGGCAGCCCTGGGGGGGATGCTGCCCCTGTGGAGGGAAGCACTCCTTCCCTTCCCTTCCCTTCCCCCCTGCAGTTCAGGGGCTGCATGGCCCTGGGGCAGGTCACATGGGCAGGCTCTGCCAGGGGGTGGGGAGGAAGGGGGGAAGCAGCAAAGGGCCTGATTTTTTCTTTTCTTTTTCTTATTTTTCTCTTGAAGCCTGCCTCTGTCTCATGTGGCCAGAGTGTAAGCTACTGGCGGGTTGCACAGCTGATGAGCTGTGGGGGACCCCAATATTTCCTTCTGTGGTGGTGGTGGCCTCTGGGCAACACCCACCCCCTGGTACCCTGCCTGGGGGGGTGCTGCTGCTGCAGAGGGAAGCACTAGGGCCCCCGCAGCTCAGGACCCACTGGCAGCTCACCCCCCAGCCCCAACGCAGGAGAGATGGGCAGGCTCCCGGGGGGTGGAAAAAAAAGGATTGGGCCCATCCCTGCTTTTTCCACACCTCCCCCTTCAGGAGAGCCTTCTTGGTCCATGGCAGGGGCCCTGGTGCTTCATTATAGCTCTGACTTGTCTGCATATCTGTTCAAAATGCTTATTCTGTCTGTCTGGGGCACTCTGGTTGTTCCAGTAAGCATTGTGATTGGCTGCTGAGGCAACCAATCTGTGCTCTGGACAGAGAATAAGCCTATTATTAGTATTAGTATTATTACTTTCCCTGAAACTAAATATATGACTTTTTTTGTAGTGCAGTCACTTCCTTTCTAATATTGACAAGCGTGCCTATGAATGAGTCATACAAAACTGTAGTCAGTGATGATGGTTTTAAAGTGTTTCTTTTTATTAAATGTAAATAGTGTGTACCTTGGGAAATAATCCTATGTTCTTTCATCGGTTCCAGTGGTGACAGCACTTAGTACTGCCTTTTAATTTTAAAAAATATTATCACGGTTTTCTGTTAGGTCACCTATTGTCAGTTAAATTTTGGAGCTGTGTATAAGTGATTTGAACTTAATTTGCAAGAAATTTATGCACTTATATGGAAGCTGGAACTTCTGTTGGTTTTCTGTTCGTTATTGTTAATAATCAGACTTGCAAATGTATTCATTTGCAGGCTTTCAGAATATAGGAAAATAATTACTTGAGGTAAATTTGTAAATTCATTTATACTGGGTATTACAATATTTGGGGGTGTGTTTTAAGACACAAAAGATAACCAAACAGTAATTGGAGATATGTCAATTTATATTAATTATTTATTTTTTTAAATTTATCCTGTTGGGTGAAATTCTGTGACTGATGTTCAGTATGGTTGAATATAATTTATCGTAGTGCTTAGCGGTTTGAATATCAGCCTTTGACATAACACATCTTAATCCCATATGGTTTTAGCTGTTGGTTTGATCTGAAGAGCGGACTATTTTAGTCTGTAATGCAAACAATTATTTTATTAACTTTCTCTTGTGATTTCAGAGGTCAGCAGATGGTTCAAGTCCAGAAGATGGAGAAGGTAAGGGAGTACCTTTGTTTGAAAATGGCTAGTTATTGCTTAGTGAAAGTTGTTCTCTAGCTCTGAATTGTCCTTTCTGTGCCACTCCTCCAGATTCGGATCATGAGGATGGAAGTTACTGTCCTCCAGTAAAGCGGGAAAGAACTTCATCTTTAACACAGTTTCCTCCTTCACAGTCAGGTAAACCATTTCTTTATACTTAACATGTTATACATACTTGATTGTTCTCATCTGGGATGATCTACTCACTTGTGCAGGACTGGGGGCTTATTTTGCCTTTCATTCCTAGTATCTCAGCAGTGAAGAGGCTGAAGAAATTGTAGAGCAGGTACAGTGATGCAGCGTTCTTTAGCACAGGGCTCTAGCTGCTGGTGGCCCTGAAGAGGGCCGTTGTGTTTCTTGGGCCCCTGCAGCTGCCTCTTACTGCCATGTGGTGAAGAGCAGGGGAACGTGTACTGCTCATGGCATAATGGAGCTGTCTGTGTAGCCCACATGGCAGAGGGTGAGGGGAGCTGCCCACACAGTGTATGGCCAATGTGGTTTGTTGCATCTGGTCAGAATGAAGTAGAACCGCCTTGCTTTAACATGCAAGCAGGTTTAGAAGTTGTAATTGAAAAGTACTTACAACTTGATTGTTATCTTGCCATGTTTAAGTGGCACGAAAATGTGACCACAGAGTTTGATTTGGAAACTTCAATTTAGAGATACTTTATGTGCAGCATTCTCACTTCTCAGTTTCATTCTTGTAGCATAGTTTCTCTGTTAGATTTTTTTTTTAATGTTCTTTGCCACATCTCTTGGCTGGAGTGAGAGTGCTGTTTGTATTATCTTCAGAATACTCCATCTACTTCCTTTCTGATCATATTCTATTGAAGAAACTTCTTTCCTACAGGAGCCATCAAGAAGCGTTTAATTGGCATAATTCCAGCTGCCCCCCCTTGCGCACTGCATCCTCTGGACAAGCCACCCATGGTTCTGTCCCACTCTGTGGGGGGGCCTCAATCTGCACCCCCGCATGCCCCTTCCCCCCCCCCGACTTACTGACCGGACGTTGGTCTCCAAGCTGTAGGACTGTATGTCAGCTCGGATCTGGATTAGCTAATATGGCTAGTTTAATAACTGGCAATCTGTATTGGCCAAAAAAATCTTTATCGGTGCACTCCTACAGCTTG